TATATTATAGTAGATTCGCCCACGGAGTAGCTATAAATCATACCCGAATCGTACCTAAAGGGATTTAGGAACCCTGTAATAATTCTAGGTTTATATAAGTTCTTCTTTGATCTAGGCTATTTCCTAGGTTAGATAGATAATCTCTTATTAAGTAGTATAGTATTATTAGTAATATAGATAGATCAGTTTTCTAACCTTCTTAGGATATTTATATACTTATCTATAATATATAAACTAGGCTTTAGGATTTATATTATAGTATTTAGTATAGGTTTTAAGATTTTTAGATAGGAATAGTAATAGGGGAGCCTCTATAGGCTCTAGTAGCTAGTCTATAGTTAATAAGTAGTCTAACTCCTAATATAGGGGTAGAAGCTATATAATATTAGGGTATAGTAGGTAGTTATATATTAGAAACTAGTAGACTAGCTTATATAATAAGCAGCAGATCAGAAGTAATTATATTATAGGTAGGCTACAGGACAGAAGGTTAACCAAGACATAGCTTAAAGAGCTACGTCAAATAGGAATAGGAAGTTCTGATAGTCTCAGGGGTCACGTGATAACAGGAACAGGGATCCTCTCGTACAAGGGTCCACACCGTGACAAATAGAAGATACTTAAAATCCAAATATAAAATATATAAAACTCTAAGCCTTATATAAGTCCAAAATATAATTATAGTCTATTGCTGAATATTTAATATAATAAACCCCGACCTACTTTTATTTCCCTATACTTAAGCACCCTACCCTAAATATAATCTAGTAAATTATAATTACCCCTATAGGTTAGATGCTTAAAACATAAATACAAAATATATAAAACTCTAAGCCTCGTACGAGACCGAAATATAATTGTAGTCTACTGCTGAATGTTTAATGTAATAAACCCCGACCCACTTTTATTTCCCCATACTTAAGCACCCTACCCTAAATGTAATCTAGTAGATTACAATTACCCCTATGGGTTAGATTGGCCCCTCCCTCGGAGAGCAGATCGTACGGGGCGGCCTTGACACATTTAGAGGTATAGCCATAGATGTCCTTCACCGCTTGGGAGCGACCAAAGGCCAACCAATTTGGGGCGATGCGTATCACAGAATGCTTTTGCAGGGCCGCGTGTAGCCTTTTGCTATGAAAATCCAGATGGGGGCGTCCACATTCCCATCCGTATGCCAGCGGTGTCAGACCGGATGCCCAGTTCTGCGTTGGATATTTGCGAAAGCCTTTCTTATCTCGAAAGTAGACAAAAAAGAGCCACACCAAGAACAGGAAAGGGGTGGTAGTTAGAAGAGCTGAAAAAATCAGGAACATCCCCTTGAATGTCAACATCTCGAAGATCTTCGTTGAAAAGACGGATGTTGTGTGACTTCCATGCGAATATGGGTAAAATACCTTTGCTCAGTAAAAACTCTGCTTCATTTGTCTTTCCCTCGGAGATTGGCATTGTTTTTATGTCTCGGATGAATGCGCTATGAATCTCCTCGTGTGTTGTAAAGCTGCCATGCAGAGCTCTGAATAGCCATCGTAATTTTGCCCTGTTTGAGAGTTTTTATCCCCGTGAGGCATCCGCTGCATCAGGTTAATCTTACGGCTGCCACTCATTGCCTATCATATTGGACTGTGACGTCGTCGCAACGGTGAGGGTAGGTGGATGGTAGCAAGGTGGGTGGTAAGAGAACGATGAGGTCAGAGTAGGACACAATGATGAAGATGGCTGGCGGGGCCCAGTCATGCTCAGAATTTTTCTGATACGGACTGCCTCCGAGTACGCGAGTCCAGTATGCATGACCAGCTTGGTGGATTTCTCGTGTCTCAGATGTCCCAAAGCAGAGTAGGATACGCGTGTCCGAAAGGGGCAAAACACACGCGATAGTTCAACGCTAGCCGGATAAGGCTCGACGCACGCGTGTGTTATACCCAACGCGGTCCATCCTGGCAGCGTACGCCTGCTCCATCTGGGGTGAACGTGGAACAAGGTCTATTATCCCAGTATGGTTGTCTAGTGGTAGGATTGGGTGTCATACAACTAATTCGGTTAGACATGATACGTCATTTAGCTTTCCAAGCATGTAATTTCGCGATGTGTGCTTCATAGAATTATGATCTGTAAAGATTAGATATGCTACTTTACCTAGTACCGTAGTTCATAGTCAGATTCTCGATGTCTAAAGGTGGAGACGGTCCCCGGAACTATGATCAGCTCTAGACAAGGGTACAGATCCCCCTTTTCTGTGGTTTTACTCATCAATAGCGAAAGACAAAGAAACAACTGCAGTGCTGCAAACGCTGCCAATCATACCTAGCGACAGTCCGTACATCATCCACTGCCCGCCCGCCCCTCTTCTTCCTCTCGCGCCTTGGGCAACTTCTTTCCTACTCTAGGCACTGCTCGCATCAAGTTACCAACAGAGACTCCTACGACACTGGTTTTAAAATCCACACAAGGTATCAACACAAAAGCGAGACAATGTTCTTTTGTGATTAAGGACTAAGACTTGCCGCATTTACCAGTATCCATAGAAGCGCACATCGTCCAAGATTCTCCGCGGGCAACGTTCTCTCGATTTCAAAAACGGACGCAGCAATCTAACAAAAGGATGCAACTAAGCGTTGGATTCCCGTCATGGTCTTGTTTCCGGCCTGCAAAATACACCGTTGCTAGTGGGCTCTGTTCCTTTGGGGGGTTCTTACTGGGGTCTGTTGGCCTGGCAATCTCATGAACACAAGTCTAATAGAATACTAACAATCCTTCATCATAACAGAATGGACACAAGTGTTATAGGACCCGTCACCGTCATGGAGAGTTTCATTAACCAATTCGGAAAGCACTCCGCTACCGTCCATGGTATCCTGGTGTCTTGTATTCTTCTTTGCGCCGCTCTGGGCTCTTTGTTTGCGGGTAGACTCGCAGACCGACTAGGCCGCCCCAAAGCAATGGCATTTGGGGCAGGAGTCTTTACCGTGGGTATCATCTTGGAGGCCGCTGCAGTGAAGCTCTCGATGTTTGCCGTAGGACGCGTCATTGAGGGCCTTGGCTATGGCCTCTACTTCAGCACTCAGACCGTCTATATCTGTGAAATCTCACCACCAAAAGCACGAGGGCCCCTCACTTCGGGACCGCAGTTCATGACATGCATGGCACTGGTAGTGGGATATTTCATCAGCTATGGTACGGTGAACATACCAGGCTCGCTTTCATGGCGACTTCCCTTCATTATTATTGTCGTGATGGCCATATTGTACCTGTTCATCAATCTATTTATCCTACCGGAGTCTCCGCGATGGCTGATTCTACATCGAGATTATCGCGCGGCTGAGAAGGTGTGGGATGCACTTGAAGTCAAACAAGAAGACCGGGAAGTTGATGACCCCATAACGTTCCCATCGCAATCAAATGTAGCAGGAGAAGAAAGGAGACAAAAAGCCAATTTTCGGGGCCTGTGGACTCGGGACGTGCGGAAGCAGACATTTCTGGCAGTGTTTCTCTTGGGATTCCTCCAGCTCTGCGGTATCGACGCTGTCCTCTATGTATGGCCCTTAAGCCATCCCACTACCCCTTCTCCCCCGGTGAACTGTCTGACTTTGATTATCTAGTACGCGCCTCTACTTTTCCAGCAGGCCGGCCTGGAATCTCAAGAAGCCTCATTCTTGGTCAGTATATGGTCTTTTCAAGCGGCCTGATAAAGCTGATCTCGATTCTGGTATAGGCGTCCGGTGTCTCTGCCATCGCTATAGTCGCGACAAGCATTCCTGCAACACTGCTAGCCGACAAATGGGGTCGTCGCACCAGCACACTGGTGGGAGGAGTGGGCCTGACGACGCTCATGATTCTGATTGGCAGTCTCTATGCTGGCCGTGCGGTCTTTCCTACGCACGGTGCTGGTCGTTGGGTGGTTATCGTGTCTATCTATCTCTATTGCATTGTGCAGGCCACGACCTGGGGTATCAGTATCAAGGTGTGGGCGCCAGAGATCCAGCCCCAGCACACACGCGCCCAGGCGATCAGTCTCGGATACGGTTTGTCTTACACCTAGGGTGCTGCTTTCCTTTTACTGACTTCTTCAGGCGCCAATTGGGTTTGCAACTTTTTCGTAGCCTTTATATGCCCGATTCTCCTTGACAAGAGCGTGCCAAGTGCCTATTTTCTTTTTGGCGGCTGCACTGCGGCCGCGACCATTGTAAGTTTCTTCTACATGGTCGAAACGAAAGGGAAGTCTTTGGCCGAGATCGAGCGAGCATTCAAGACGCGGATTCCGGTCGCGAGCACGGCTAGCCCCATGGCGAGACTGGTACATGCAGACCATGAGGTCAAGGCGGCATAAATGGTTCAGCGAGGTCCCTTCTTCACCTTGGAGTATCTCCTGACAAGGAACGAAGGGAAAAGAGGCATTCGATTCAAAGTGATGCGATACCTCGTATGAACTTCTCTTTCAATACCCATATCTGCGACTCCATATCAAATTGCAACTGGTCTACTTTTTTCTTCTCGCTTCGATTCAGACGGTGTGGGGCACGTGCTAGGGTTTAGAATTCTTCATCATTGTAGAACGACAATGATGCCAGATCACTACCGTGAAATACAATCATAAGAAAGATTTTCAATCAAATTTCCGATCAAGACGCTCCTATTAATTCTGGCTGCCCCTGCGATTCTACATAGGCTTGTTTTGGAGAGTGACACTTATTTACGGCAGACTCAGGGTTGAGCTGCCTACCACGGCATGTCGTACCGCATGACACTTGATGAACAGCCGTTCTAGAAGATCCACATCAAGTGAAATAGCGTCATGGATATGCTATGTTCGGGCCGAAACTTGCATCAAACGTGACTGAGGCCGAGGCCCTGGGAACATCCCTGTATCTAATCCAAGGCAACACGATGAACGCACTAAAAGAGCGCTTTCCTGGAAAATACATTATTACCCTAAAGAAAAGTTTTCTCAAAGACACATCGTCAACTTGAATTGCTTCTCACTCATAGGACAAATTACCACCATGACCACCATGAAGGCAATCAAAGTGACCGGTCCTGGAGGAGCAGAGATCCAGGACGTACCGTTGCCGAGACTGCGAGATGACTACGTCTTGTGCAGAGTAAAGCGAGTAGCAATCAATCCCACTGACTGGTAAGACCCCGCTATGGTCTAAATGATACCGATACTGATTATCTGCCCCTCAGGAAGCACATTGACTTCATCCCAGCCCCCGGAGCTACGTCAGGATGCGACTTTGCTGGGTCGGTTGAACAAGTTGAACCTGCTGTCAGTAAATATTGGAGAAAGGGAGATCGTATTGCAGCCTTTGTCCACGGTTGTAACGCGACTAACCTTGAGGATGGATGCTTTGCCGGTAAGCTCCGGCGCCAACCAACATTCCGAATAAATGCTGACAGGTTTTACCAAGAGTTTGCCGTTGCCAAAGGATATTTACAAATGAAGATCCCCGACAATTTAAGCGACGAGCAAGCGGCTACACTGGGCGTGGGCCTGACTACAGTTGGCCTGGCACTGTACCAGAGTCTGGGATTGCCGCTTCCACCCTCCAACCCTTGTGGAGTTCCAGTGTTGATCTACGGGGGCAGTACAGCCACGGGTAGCCTCGCGATTCAATTTGCCGCATTGTAAGGAAGGCCGAAGCTCGAGCCCCGTGACAGACTAAATACACTAACCACATAGCCTAGATCTGGCTTAAAAGTGATCACGACCTGCTCACCACGCAACTTTGTGTTTGTCCAAAAACTTGGAGCAAGCAAGGCGTTCAACTACAAAGATTCCGCTTGTGGTGCCAACGTAGGGCTGGCCAGAGCCCCCATATCAGCCGTCCAATGAGCCCCAGAAACTAATCTCGTGTCCTACAGATCCGAAAGTTTACGAATGATGCGCTCGAGCTTACTTTTGACTGCATTTCCCATGAGAACTCGGCAAAAATATGCTGCGAGGCAATATCATCTGACAGAGGGAAATTGTGCTCCCTCAACCCCACGGCTCATCCTCGGACAGACGTGAAGAACATTCACACGCTTGCTTACACTGTCAATGACGAGGATTTCGAGATGGGGAACTCCTTGATTCCTGCGAAGCCAGATGATCTGGAGTTTGGCAAGATGTAGGTCATATTTTCCGAGTGTAACGCCATAGTTACTGATGCATTGGTATTGCACAGGTTCTGGGAGCTAGCAACCAAATTAATTGCCGAGAGCAAGATTAGTACGCATCCAATTTTGGCTTGCACGGGTGGCTTGGAGGGTGTTCTCCATGGTATCAATCAGCTTCGAGAGGGAAAAGTGAGCAGGAAGAAGCTGGTGTATAACCTAGATTAATGATTATCAGAATGATCACTACTTGGTGGCTTTGGACAGACTCTAGCGACAGACTAATTTATTTGTCACCTTCAGATTGATTTCTATTTTCCCTATCAAATATTCATTTGCTGCATCATTTCCTCCCTGTTACATATTTTGGGGGGAAAAAAAAAGGAATTTTGTGGGTTGAGAGACCCGGGGATATATTGCGGGAGACTGGACGCAGTCCAATATAACTAAAAGAAAATTGGTTGATGTGCATTTCTAATGAGTTGCGCAAAGGATCTTTATATTGGTCACTAGAGCAACTGTTTTACTAAGGAAACCAGGTAAAACTTTTCTCACGGCGCTCCACGTGTATATACTCGCGAGATATGGCCGACGACATCTATAGAAGATGATCGTCAGACCGGATGTATGATGAACCGGGAATATATGCCTCATTTTAAGGCTGACCCCACATGATATGCACGCCCGTCTGTGGCCCATTCCGCAAATTCAGAGGACTAATTTGAGATAGCAATTTTTCATTCCTGGTAATTGACTGGAGAGACTTGGAAATCACCGATTTACGCGTTCCAGGCTTAAAGTGGAGGAAATCGCTCGGCTGCATTAGATACTTGTCAGAATTTCTAGCGGGAGAAATGCGAGCGTGAATATAGCCTGATGGGGAGCAACAAACATCTTTTTGTATGATGATTTATTGGATGACAGATTTGATCGCTATTGATCCGCCCCTGTCTTGGTCAACCTCATACTAACCATGGTTTGGATGTATGCAGAGTCACCGGTGTTCAAGGGGCCGCCTTGGTTGGCTCGGCGACTGTCTCGATACCCCTGCACTGCGGCACCCTGCCCGTTGCAAATGGACATGATCAGGGCACGACCACACGGACCTTCAACCCTCATGTAAGAGGGGCTATATTCGGTGATTTTCAATGAACCACGTCGCGTCGGCCCGAGCATTGCATGAGAGGCCACGGCCAACACTATTGCTCGGCCGGCCGTCATAAGCAGTGACAAAATCTGCTTCATCAAACTTAAAAGATCAATATATATATAAATGATTATCTCATTTGAGACCCTTGGCTTCACTCACTCGGCAAAGAGCTTGTGACCAACCTTATCATACAAACAATGGCTTCCCTAGCGTTCCCGTCCCTTGCCAAGAGGGCGACCCTATCTGACGGCACGTCGTATGGATATGTCGCTCACCCCTCGTCCAAAGCCGATGCGATCACCTTCCTGCTCCTTCATGGATATCCCAGCTCTTGCTATGACTGGCGCCATCAAATCAAGTCATTGTCAGCCGCAGGGTATGGGGTTATTGCTCCAACTTGCTCGGATATGGAGACACAGATAAGCCGGCCGATCCAACCTCGTATCGCTTGAAGTCTATGTCGCTCCATATGGCCGAAATACTAGATATCGAAAATATCCAACGTTGTGTTGCCGTGGGTCATGATTGGTTAGTTTATGCATGTCTGACACGCACCTAGTGCCTTTCCTTCTCACACGAGGATTGATATAGGGGCTGTGGATTGCTTTCCCGTCTGGTCACATATATCCCCGATTGCTTGATGGGCATTGTGCCGATCTCAGTCGGGTACATTCAGCCTGGCCTGGTGGATATCGGTATGGTATCTAAGCCTCCACTATCCGCAACTCTTCTAACTTACCTTGCCTCGATGCAGATGCGATCAATGCATATACTGAGAGCCTCTTCGGGTATCCAACGTATGGATACTGGCCGTGGCACAATAATGAGGACGCTGTTAAGGATTGTGACGAACATGTGAGTCTCACGTCATTGATTGACCTAAAGCCAGTGTTCCTGCTAATGCTTGTGGCAGCCAGCTTCGGCTTTTACACTCATCTATGCAGCCAATCCAGAGGACTGGAAAATAAATATGGCTCCCCTAGATGCTGCAGCTGAGTACGTCAAGGCCGGTAGGATTGATCCGCTGCCGTCGTGGTATACTCTAGAGGAGTACACGCTTAGAGACCGAATCCTAGCCCAGGGACATCGCGGCCCCTTAAACTAGTACAAAGCCGCAATGCGCGATGTTAACAACGTTGATGAAGCCGAAATCCCAGACGCGGACAGGGATTGTCATCTGCCCACACTCCTTGTCGTAAGTGAAAAGGACTATATTACGAGGGCAGACATGAACATTGCTACTACTAAGGAACATACGCCCGATTTGCGGGTGAAGAACTTTGCAGACTGCGGACATTGGATTCAGCTGGAGCGACCGGACGAGCTGCATCAACTTCTGGAAGAGTTTGCTCTGGAGCTGATTGATAGAAAAAACTCGTGACAGAAAGCAAAGAAGCATGGGATCACGGACACTTCATCTGTATAGCACATTACGAACAAGGAAGTACCTGTTTCGTGGTTTCTTGATATGGAAATGTACCTGGAGATTTACTTTGAGTAAAGGTCTTTTATGCCTTACTTCTCCTGTCCGAGTAGCCTGATTAGATCAGGAGGCTCCAAACGACATGTATCATATGGTTATTCAGTTACTCTTGGGGTTTCGTTTCGTCCATGTTGCCTCTTTCATACGTCAAATAAATCCCAGTACGTATAACTGACTATATAGTGAATTAATCATCGACGCATTTTTCAACGGATCATTGTGCCCGTGTTCCTGCTATCAATTAGTTAAGGGAAGTAAGTGGGTCTTTCATATCTAGCCAGGAGAAAGACCAGTATCACGTGCATTATCTAAGACCTAAGCAGCTGGTCTCACGTTATGTACTACAGTACTCAATACCTTGAACAGTTGTAGCTTTAGTGGGGTCTGTCAAATCAACCTCCGCGCTAGTCTTTTGGTAGTGAGGCGCTTGAAACATTTTTGCGTCAGATTTCGCTAATGACTGTATGAGAATGTTCATATTCGGAAATATTCACCTAGCTGCTACTAATGCCTAGAATGTGGTTTCACTTAATCATACATTTGACAACGTTCATAGGCTCAGAGAGTAATTTTCCGTTATGTGCATTAATAAAACGATTTCAATAGTGAATATATATATTTAGCTCTAGCATTTGCCATCAAGTGGCTTTTGGAGTAAATCTGACTAACGCTAAATAAGGCTCAGAATCCCTGGATGATCATGAGGTGCAACAGTATTTGAAGAGTTCACGATTTTATGAGGCGTGGTCTCGGCAGTGGAAACGTGCGGTGTATAGAGCATTTTGAAAGCGGTGAGAAGACTGACGCGGACTCCCCTGCGCAATCTCCACCGAGAATCGGAGACTCCTAGGAACAAAAGCCTCCCTTGAGAATAATTCACCGAAACATCACTTTACGCCTAACAATGTTCAAAAGTAAGTAGAGAGCCAAATCTCTACCTACCCTGCTATTTTCTTACATCGACGCAATGCGATCCCCTAGGACGCCAAAAAATTATTATCTCCAAGCGTGGGGGGATGACATGAAAACCTGGTCTTGGGACATAATTTTCTAAACAGTATAAAAAAGTAATTTTCGTAGTTTCGAATGCAGGAGACATAAGTTGAGACACAATAAGCCACATCGACTGTTGTTTTATCAGAACTGCTTATCGCATCGCCTTTACATCTAGTATGCAGGGTGTAAAATCAAACCTGAGCACTTTATAAAGCAAAAGACAGCTTACTGAGCCTCTCAATATAAATATAATGAGGCTGTCCTTAAAAGATCCATGTCAGTCCTAAGATTACATAGCTTTCGATCGATCACGGCAACGAATGAAATAGCAGTGGATAGCGGAAGCTATAGGAAAAAGAAGTATATATACCCTACCAGGGTTAATTCTCTATGGAGCATATGCAGCCTTCTATAGGATGTCAAAACGAGTGTAAGCGAAGGCTGCGTGTGACGGGAAGGGAGTAGAATTAGGGGATGACCACTTTGTTTAGTCGTTTTGCATGAAAGAATCCATTGAATTCCACGGCAAACTACGGTATTATAACAATGACCATCCATCGTTACCAGGGAATACAATACGGTCTGACAAAGGATTTTCGGGGAACGGCTAAAATTAGACTAGCGTGTTTCAGGCTAGGGTTCGGGAAAAAAAGTCTAAGTGTAGAGGTAAATCTGATTTTGAATACTACTGTAGATTAAGCCCCCAGTGAGCTCGCACTGGGCGACAGTCATCGCCAGGCTGTTGGGACAATGGATTCTTACCTTCTCGTGGTGTCCGGTGCTAATCCCTGTCGGGGGAGACCAAAGTGAATCCGCCGTGGTTGTGCGGTCCGGCCCGGCGCAGTGGGCGCGGGGCACGACCGCACAACCACACCAAAATCAGGGGAAAACGGCAAATGAAAACCATCCGACTTCTTCTTACCCCACTCGCACTCGGGCCCAGACACTGGTCTTGCATTACCAGTCGAAGTGGTGTCGCCCTAGGAAGAAGACAGGATACCCCTGAGCTTGCATACGGTCTAGGATCGCATCGTATAAGATGCGGCGAGGCCGTAGTGAACCAGTGACGCAGGCAGTCAAGCTAATATCGGACAGACCTTGTTTAAGGCCTAGAGGCCTCGTTAAGACTCGAACTCGTTAAGGTTCGGAGACGTCATTCACTAGGGACCTCGTTAAGGCAAAGCCACAGGCAAGCTCTGGTGCGGCTGTTCTACGAGACACGGGCACCGCCGAGACACGGGCAACCCTCTTAGGAGACACACGGGCAATCTAGAAGATGTTGGTGGTTGGCTGATGGCAACTGATGAAGCTCATTAAGGCTGTGCCACGGGTAAATCATCGGCCCTGTTCCGTCACTGGGGACCAAGGTTGGTTAGTAGGGAGCGACCGACATACACTGCCGGCTGGAGTGTATACGAGGGCTCTCTGCGAGATACAGTCGGCCTAGTGGAGGGATGAAACACGCGTCGACCTTAGTATTTTTATCCCCTCCCGGATTCGGCGCTACCCTACCTATCAGCGCCGGACCCCTGCAAATAGACCTTAACAAGTCCTATGGGACCAAGAAAATTCTAGTCCCATATGCCGGTCCTATAAGCCCTATAGGACTAAATTAAATTCTACTCCTATTATCCTTGTACTCCTATAGAGCAACACTAATAATTTGCTAAGAACTTCTTATTTCGGCTATATAAATCTGCTGACTGATTACTAACTCATTATATAATATTTATCAACCAGTTAATTATAGAAAAGATCTTTATAACTTATACAGGTCACATTTTTTCCAACATTTACACTGTTTATAACCCTATAGGACTTGTTGTCAGAAATACTAAGTAGAGAATATAGATACACCAATAGAATATTAACATATCTGATTTCTATATAGTAAGCCTATAGTAATTTAGGTAGGTAAAATAATAACTAATACTTCGGATCTATAGTATTTCCTTCTTCTAAGATCTATTACTACTATTCTAATACACCCCCTTAGCGATTAGTATATATTAAATAGCTTTACTAATATTAAATTACTTAAAATAATTACTAATTCCTTATAGTAGGTTTTTTTTTCCTTTATTTATATTTTAATTAGATATTCTATATTCTCTATACAAAGTATTCTAATAAACTCCTTATATTTCTTATATAGTAGGATCTTTATAAGACTATCTACTACTATCTTAGTATTTAGAATCTATTTAATATTAATTCTTCCTTCTCTAATCTCTTATCTTAGCTAGTATTTATATATATCGATATAATAAAGTTTTATATTAATTTTAGTATACTTAGAGTTTAGTAATATAATAGTTTATTAGTTATTATATTATAAGGTAATTATTTAGCTTAGTTTAAATAAGATATATCTAAAGAATTGCTTCTATTACTATAATAAATATATAGTATTTAATAAACCTAAAAGCTTAGTTTTAGTAGTAGATATAATAATAATAGGTTATTTTATAGCCTTCTAATTAACTAGACTATTATAAACTTAGTAGATATAACCTATAGAGCTCTATTAATCTTAATTATTAGTAAAGGATATATTACTTATAATTTTAATTAATTCTATATCTCTCTTTTTATTATACTATAGTACTAGATATTATATAGAATAAAGATAATAGATTAATCTATTAACTACTTAGTAGTACTAAGAGTCTAGGTTCTATAGGAACTATAATAATTTTATAGCTATTTTTACTATATCTAGTCTAGTTATTAATATAGGATATTAAATTAAATCTACTTTCTTTTAATATAACTTAATATTAGTTACTATTATTATATTATTAAATAATATTATTTCTTCTATAGGGAGAGATATAAAGATAGATAGGTAATTAGTTAGGTAATATCTTATAGCTATATTACTAATATAAATATCCTAGTATAGCTAAAGCTTCTGTAGTTTCTAATTATATATAATTTAAATATTTAAGAACTACTCTACTTCTCTATAATCTATAAGCTCTTAATATATCTCTAGATTCTTCTTAAGCTAATAGGCTTTCTCTTATATAGATAGGTAGCTAGTAATAATAAAGTTATTTATATAAAAAAAAATAATAATACTATATATAGTAAAGATATATAAATCTTTAGGAACTAGTATAAACCTAAGTTTTATAAGAACTTTTAATACTTCCTACTACTATAACTTTAATAATATTTATAGCCTATATAGTATATAATTAAGCTTCTAGTATATTCCTATCTATTTAAAATCTTCTAGTATCTTTATATAGATCTTAGTAGGTAAGGTACTATTTAGGAATATAATAACTATATCCTATTATTATAAATCTAGATTAAATACTATAATAAGAGTAAATATTACTCTTACTACTTTTATTATAAGTATTATAGTCTTTTTATTCTTATAGGTTATTATTTCTTAGTTATCTTATATATAGATATATACTTTTAGTTTCTAAAGATAGCTATCTTAGTTAAACTTATATATAAATATCTATCGGAGGGATAGGATCTATTTTAAGATATCTTTTAGCTAATTGATTACTATAAATATTAATTTCTCTTATAGGGATCTTATTTCTTTAGCGTAGGTAGCTAGAAAGCCTTTAGCTATTAGATATTTTATTATATTCTTCTATCTATCTAGTAGAGGGGATAGATTATCTTAATAATATTAAAGTAGCTTCTTTATATATAGTACTACTATAAATATATATAAAAGCTCTAGTAGATTATCTTTAATAATAGATAAGGTTATATATATATAATAATCAGGATCTACCCTTAGTCTTTACTATCTATATCTTTTAATAATATTAGTTATATTAATACTATTATTTCTTTATATATAGAGCTTAGTATATAGTTATTATTTACTATCTAAGAGTAACTTAGGTTATTCTTCTTCTAGATAA